CACACACACACACACACACACAACGATTCGATTAAAATTCCATCTTTCGCTTTTTGATCTGAATACCTAGACGCGAAGGTATTTCTTTTTCTTTTTTTCCCCAATTTTTCTTGCAAATTCTCTTTTCTCGATTCGAAAAGACTCGAGGAGAGGGAAAAACTTTTTCGAATATTTAACGATAGTCTGAAAACTTGTGATGTTTTAGAGATCATTATGCAATTTGGATAACGACCCACTATCACCGATACTCCATCATTTTCTTGCAACAGTTGCGTTTAAATCATCTTTTGAAATAAAATTTACATGTCTGAATACTTACATTACTTTGAATACTTTTTAAAATATTTATCAAACTCGTTGCGTATCCATTGGTTTTGCAATTGGTAACGAGTTCTAAAGTTTCGCTCGATATTCGACTGCCTTGGAAATATTTCACCCGGCATCATCGTTTTTCCTCTAAAAACACGCGTCAACGTGTCAAGTTTTTAAAGTTTTAGCATCAGTTTTACTTTTACTTTACTTTGTTGGACAGGAAAGTATTGCGAGACGATAATCTAAACGCAGTTATATAAAGAGCTAATGAGCGCGTTTTTAATCGATGTCATTATCTTCTTTCGTAACGAGAGTTACTTTAAATACAGCAACGTATGAAAGAAGAAGGTGTGCGGTGGAAGGAGCGTTCGTCATGTCTTCTGAGTTGATTCATTCGCGATTGATCTACATAGTTCTTGTACCACTTGTATCTGCATCGCTCTTGCCCCGTAATTTGAATTGAAAAATACATCTCACGTAATATGACAATCTCATAAATCTTGCTATTTCTTCTGATCGCGCAATATCGATAATGTAAAGTGAAAATTTTTTAACGTAACGGAGGAATGCGTTTGACACGCACGAACCACGCATTATTTTTCTACAAATCACTTTTAAGAACGTGATAAAGTCTATATTAATTAAAAAAAAAAATAAACTCTCCTTCTTTCTCCATTCGATATCATTCGATTTATTAAAATTCTTTCAGATTCGAGATACACAACAAGTAGATTATAATATCAAAGTATAATGGAGTTATTTCACGCAAACTTGTACAATATATTTTATAAAATTGACCTACGATAAATAATCATCGAGCATCGCGTTTCCCGATATAAATCAAGTCACCAACTTTCTCCTCGTTGTATTAAAAAGGATTAGAATTATATTGAACTGCTGTGTTTTCCTTCTAAGATTTTCTTACCTCGTGTACAACGGTGTCCGTAGCAACTGGCGCTCCATCTGAAATAAACAAGGAATTCTTGTAAAATAAAATAATTTTATACACGGATGATTCTAAAAACTTACGATTATTGCGATTATTTACCATCGTATATATACATATATGTATCGACCCGTTCGATACAATTTATCGCGGTTTAACATCTAGAAGATTGTATCGAGTATTCGTAAAGTTAAAATAAATCTCAATCCACTTAAATACGATCGATAGAGAGGAAGGATCGCCATCGTCGTTTTATCACAGGCAAATCTTTGTTGATTAATTCGCTAATAAACGTGATCACAAAATTACTCGTCTAATAAGGGTTAAATTGAATACCGGAATGGTCGTTGATAAATGATCGTCCTCCTCTCGAGTGTTCGAGCCATACCGAGGCGCTCCTTGAAATTTTCAATCGACCAACAACGAAGCTGCCTGCGGAATGATAAATGCGACCACTCTGACGATCTACATAAACACCGAAGACGATTATTATCAATAATACGTTTCTCGACGATGCATTTTATAGAATTTCAAATGATTAAAATGACGACCGTGACATTCTTCTCTCGCACCGCGCGAATACAACAAATTTGTGTTATGTATCGATACGAATCTAAAATTCGCGTAACACTCGGATATCAGTCACGGTGTGTAAGATATCTCTACGTCGCTCGATCTTTTAAAATAGAAAAATACATATATTGTATTGTATAAATAGAAAAATACATTTGAAAGTACTGATCCATCATTCTGTTCCCGTTACAAATACAGATGAAAGGATTGATTAACGCAAACTGTTCGAGAGTGCGACGAGGGCAGTTTTCTTTCATCGTTGCCAGGAGAGAAAGTCAATTACTGGGATGACAAGCGACAAACGTTTAGCGATGACGTAGTACGTCTCCAGAGATACTCGCGGTACGTGTTCAAAGTTAAAACGCTCGAACAGTTGCTCCCTTGGCTCCACCTGTCAACTACAGTTCGAAAGACAAGGCGCGTTTGGATCATTTCCTACTTGCCGTTCCTTTAAATTTTCATTTCGCCAACGTGTCTCTGACGACTGCGTAAACAACGAAAACTCGGGACAAACTATTTCTCCATCACTCTAATCGGTCGATCAAAATTTCGTGATTCGAAAAAAGTATTTCGATTGATGATAAAAAGAAAAAGTAATATTTCATATTCGTATGGAGATCAAAGAGAATAATAAAAAAAAAAAGAAAAATATTGCAAATTCCATTCCATATAGGATTTTATTAATTTTTCGAAAATGTGTTAATTTTTAAACAATTAAATCCCGGCTCGAAGTTATGTATCGATCGAAACAAAAATATCATTGGATCGTTGCGAAAAATGTTATTTATCAAATAAACTTGTTAAATCGGTGACTATTGGCAGTATTTCACCACCGCCAATTACGGCCACCGCAACGTAATGCGGCACCAGTAATTTGTTGAACCGATTCTCTGAAATTCTCCCAAATTTATTGCGATGCGTATCATCGATCGCAACGAAAAATGTATCGCATTCTCCGCGTTTAGAAAGGATTTAGATTTCTGGGCTTATTATCAATCGCCATGTTGTAA